CAGAATGCAGAAAATACAAGAAACGTTTAACAAGAACCTAGAAGAACTAAAGAGCAAACAAACAATGATGTAAAAACAATAAATGAAATTAAAAATTCTTTACAAGGAATCAATAGCCGAATAACTGACACAGAAGAACGGATAAGTGACCTGGAAGATAAAATAGTGGAAATAACTACCGCAGAGCAGAAAAAAGTAAAAAGAATGAAAAGAATTGAGGACAGTCTTAGAGACCTCTGGGACAACATTAAATGCACCAACATTCGAATTATTATACGGGTCCCAGAAGAAGAAGAGAAAAAGAAAGGGACTGAGAAAATATTTGAAGAGATTATAGTTGAAAACTTCCCTAATAAGGGAAAGGAAATAGTCAAGAAAGTCTAGGAAGTGCAGTGAGTCCCATACAGGATAAATCCAAGGAGAAACATGCCAAGACACATATTAATAAACTATCAAAAATTAAATACAAAGAAAAAATAATGAAAGCAGAAAGGGGAAAACAACAAATAACATAGAAGGGAATCCCCATAAGGTTAACAGCTGATCGTTCAGCAGAAACTCTGCAAGCCAGAAGGGAGTGGCAGGACATATTTAAAGTGATGAAAGGGAAAAACCGACAACCAACATTACCCTACCCAGCAAGGATCTCATTCAGATTTGATGGAGAAATTAAAACCTTAACAGACAAGCAAAAGCTAAGAGAATTCACCACCACCAAACCAGCTTTACAAAAAATGCTAAAGGAACTTCCCTAGGCAGGAAACACAAGAGAAGTAAAAGACCTATGATAACAAACCCAATACGATCAGCAAAATGATAATAGGAACATACATATCGATAATTACCTTAAATGTAAATGGATTAAATGCTCCAAGCAAAAGACACAGACTGGATGAATGGATACAAAAACAAGACCTGTATATATGCTGTCTACAAGAGACCCACTTAGGACCTAGGGACACATCTCCTGAAAATGAGGAGACAGAAAAAGATATTCCGTGCAAATGGAAATAAAAAGAAAGCTGGAGTAGCAATTCTCATATCACACTAAATAGACTTTAAAATAAAGACTATTACAAGAGACAACGAAGGACACTACATAACGATCAAGGGATCAATCCAAGAAGAAGATATAACAAGTGTAAATATTTATGCACCCAACACAGGAGCACCTCAGTACATAAGGCAAATGCTAACAGCCATAAAATGGGAAATCGACAATAACACAATCATAGTAGGGGACTTTAACACCCCACTTTCACCAATGGACAGATCATCCAAAATGGAAGTAAATAAGGAAACACAGCTTTAAATGATACATTAAACAAGATGGACTTAATTGATATTTATAGATATTCCATCCCAAAACAACAGAATATACTTTCTTCTCAAGTGTTCATGGAACATTCTCCAGGATAGATTGTATCTTGGGTCAAATCAAGATACAAATCAAGCCTTGGTAAATTTAAGAAAATTGAAATCGAATCAAGCATGTTTTCTGACCTCAACCTATGGGACTAGATATCAATTACAGGAAAAAATCTGTAAAAAATACGAACACATGGATGCTGAACAATACACTACTTAATAACCAAGAGATCACTGAAGAAATCAAAGTGGAAACCAAAAAATCCCTAGAAACAAATGATAATGAAAACACGATGACCCAAAACCTATGGGATGCAGAAAAAGCAGTTCTAAGGGGGAAGTTTATAAAAATACAATCCTACCTCAAGAAACATCTCAAATAAACAACCTAACCTTACACCTAAAGCAATTAGAGAAACAAGAACAAAAAAATCCCAAAGTTAGCAGAAGGAAAGAAATAAAGATCAGATCAGAAATAAATGAAAAAGAAATGAAGGAAACAATAGCAAAGATCAATAAAGCTAAATAAAGCTATCTTCTTTGAGAAGATAAACAAAATTGATAAATTATTAGCCAGATAAATCAAGAAAAAAAGGGAGAGGACTCAAATCAATAGAATTAGAAATGAAAAAGAAGAAGTAACAACTGACACTGCAGAAACACAAAGGATCATGAGAGATTACTACAAGCAACTCTATGTCAATAAAATAGACAACCTGGAAGAAATGGACACATTCTTAGAAAAGCACAACCTTCCTAGACTGAACCAGGAAGAAATAAACAGACCAATCACAAGCACTGAAATTGTGACTGTGATTAAAAATCTTCCAACAAACAGAAGACCAGGACCTGATGCCTTTACAGGAGAATTCTATGAAACATTTAGAGAAGAGCTAACACCTATCCTTCTCAAACTCTTCCAAAGTATAGTAGAGGGAGGAACACTCCCAAACTCATTCGATGAGGCCACCATCACCCTGATACCAAAACCAGACAAAGATGTCACAAAGAAGGAAAACTATAGGCCAATATCACTGATTAACATAGATGCAAAACTCCTCAACAAAATACCAGCAGACAGAATCCATCAGCACATTAAAAGGATCATACACCATGATCAAGTGGGGTTTATCCCAGGAATACAAGGATTCTTCAATATACACAAATCAATCAATGTGATAAACCATATTAACAAATTGAAGGAGAAAAACCATACGATCATCACAATAGAGGCAGAAAAACTTCTGACAAAATTCAATACCCATTTATGATAAAAACCCTCCAGAAAGTAGGCATGGAGGGAACTTACCTCAACATAATAAAGGCCATATAAGACAAACACACAGCCAACATCATTCTCAAAGGTGAAAAACTGAAACCATTTCCTCTAAGATCAGAAACAAGACAAGGTTGTCCACTCTCATCACTAGTATTCAACATAGTGTGGGAAGTTTTAGCCACAGCAATCAGAGAAGAAAAAGAAATAAAAGGAATCCAAATCGGAAAAGAAGAAGTAAAGCTGTCACTGTTTGCAGATGACATGATACTATACATAGAAAATCCTAAAGATTCTACCAGAAAACTACTAGAGCTAATCAATGAATTTGGTAAAGTAGCAGGATACAAAACTAATGCACAGAAATCTCTTGCATTCCTATACACTAATGATGAAAAATAAGAAAGAGAAATTAAGGAAACACTCCCATTTAGCACTGCAACAAAAAGAATAAAATACCTAGGAATAAACCTACCTAAGGAGGCAAAAGACCTGTATGCAGAAAACTATAAGACACTGATGAAAGAAATTAAAGGAGATACAAACAGATGGAGAGATATACCATGTTCTTGGATTGGAAGAATCAACATTGTGAAAGTAATGATACGACCCAAAGCTATCTATAGATTCAATGCAATCCCTATCAAACTAGCAATGGCATTTTTCACAGAACTAGAACAAAAAAATTCACAATTTGTATGGAAACACAAAAGAGCCCAATGAGCCTAAGCAATCTTGAGAAAGAAAAACGGAGCTGGACCGAATCAGGCCCCCAGACTTCAGACTATACTGCAAAGCTACAGTAATCAAGACGGTATGGTACTGGCACACAAACAGAAATACAGATCAATGGAACAGGATAGAAAGCCCAGAGATAAAACCACACTCATATTGTCACCTTATTTTTGATAAAAGGGGCAAGAATACAATGGAGAAAAGACCGCCTCTTCAATAAGTGGTGCTAGGAAAACTGGACAGCTACATGTAAAAGAATGAAAGTAGAGCACTCCCTAACACCATACACAAAAATAAGCTCAAAATGGATTAAAGACCTAAATGTAAGGCCAGACACTATAAAACTCTTAGAGGAAAACATAGGCAGAACACTCGATGACCTAAATCACAGCAAGATCCTTTTTGACCCACCTCCTAGAGAAAGGGAAATAAAAACAAAAATAAACAAATGGGACCTAATGAAACTTCAAAGCTTTTGCACAGCAAAGGAAACCATAAACAAGGTCAAAAGACAGCCCTCAGAATGGGAGAAAATATTTGCAAATGAAGCAACTGACAAAGGATTAATCTCCAAAATTTACAAGCATCTCATGCAGCTCAATATCATAAAAACAAACAACCCAATCCAAAAATGGGCAGAAAACCTAAATAGACATTTATTCAAAGAAGATATATAGATTGCCAACAAACACATGAAAGGATGCTCAACATCACTAATCATTAGAGAAATGCAAATCCAAACTATAATGAGGTATCATCTCACACCAGTGAGAATGGTCATCATCAAAAAATCTACAAACAATAAATGCTGGAGAGAGTGTGGAGAAACGTGAACCCTCTTGCACTGTTGGTGGGAATGTAAATTGATACAGCCACTATGGAGAACTGTATGTAGGTTCCTTAAAATACTAAAAATAGAACTACCATATGACCCAGCAATCCCACTACTGGTCATATACCCTGAGAAAACCATAACTCAAAAAGACAGGTGAACCACAATGTTCAACACAGCTCTATTTACAATAGCCAGGACATGCAAGCAACCTAAGTGTCCATCGACAGAGGAATGGATAAAGAATATGTGACACATATATACAGGGGAATATTACTCAGCCATGAAAAGAATAAAATTGAGTTACTTGTTGTGAGGTGGATGGACCTAGTGTCTGTCATACAGAGTGAAGTCAGTCAGAAAGAGAAAAACAAATACTGTATGCTAACACATATATATGGAATCTTAAAAAAAAAAAAAATGGTTCTGAAGAACCTAGGGGCAGGACAGGAATAAAGACGTATAGCTAGAAAATGGACTTGAGGACACGGGGAGGTGGAAGGGTAAGCTGCAATGAAGTGAGAGAGTGGCATGGACATATATACACTACCAAGCGTAAAGTGGATAGCTAGTGGGAAGCAGACACATAGCACAGGGAGGTCAGCTCAGTGCTTTGTGACCACCTAGAGGGGGTGGGTTAGGGAGGGTGGGAGGGAGGGAGACCCAAGAGGGAAGAGATATGGGAACATATGTATATGTATAACTGATTCACTTTGTTATAAAGCAGAAACTAACACACCATTGTAAAGCAATTATACTCCAATAAAGATGTTGAAAAAAGAGCTCTCGCGTGCGCCATGTCTGGTTCCTCCAGCGTCGCCGCTATGAAGAAAGTGGTTCAACAACTCCGGCTGGAGGCCGGGCTCAACCCGGTGAAGGTTTCCCAGGCAGCTGCAGATCTGAAACAATTCTGTCTGCACAATGCTCAATATGACCCCCTGCTGACTGGAGTATCTTCAAGTACAAATCCCTTCAGACCTCAGAAAGTCTGTTCCTTTTTGTAGTAAAATGAATCTTTGCAAGGTTTTTAAACCACTTTTCATAAACCGGTGAATATTCAAAGGAAAGCTATATCTGAAGCCTGTACAAAAGCCTGTCTCTATAACATGTGCCATACTATACAAACTTCTACTTTTGTCAGTCTACCTTTCTGAATATTCATGAATTTCTGTTTCACAAGGGTAATTATTTTATATACACTGGTGGCAGCATACAATAAAATACTTAGTATAAAAAAAAAGATGTTAAAAAAATTAAATGTATCAATGTTTCTCAAAGTGTTGTCACTAGACCAGCAGCATCATGATCCCTTGCTAACTTATTAGGAAAAAACTCTCAGGCCACATCCCACATGTACTAAATCAGACACTGGGAGTAAAGCCAGCAGGCAGTGTTTTAACACATTTACCTAATGATTTTAATGCACACTAAAGTTTGAGAACTACTAGACTAGGTTATACTTTTATAGGAAAAATCATCTCCCAAATCATAGCAATTTAACAGAACAAGATTTTATGCCGCATAAAAGCAAAGTCTGCTGTAGATCTAAGTAATTTCTCAAGGCAGCTCTCTTTGATATTTTGGGTCAGTATTTTGGGATACTTCAAACTTATAGCGCAACTGGTATGGCAAGGAATGAGTAAGCTGGAGAATTATGTGACGGGCAATTAAATGCTTCCATCCAGAAACAAGCAACACTACTGCTCACATTTCACCAACTAAAGCAGTCCACGTGGTCACACCTAAATTCAAGGATTAAGAACTGGGCTTCCCTGGTGGCGCAGTGGTTGAGAGTCCGCCTGCCGAGGCAGGGGACACGGGTTCGTGCCCCGGTCCGGGAAGATCCCACATGCCGCAGAGCGGCTGGGCCCGTGTGCCATGGCCGCTGGGCCTGCGCGTCCGGAGCCTGTGCTCCACAACGGGAGAGGCAACAACAGCGAGAGGCCCGTGTAACGCAAAAAAAAAAAAAAAAAAAATTAAGGACCTTCAATCTCCTGAGGTCTAGAAGTAGAGATAACCACATACTGGTAAACATTAGTAATGCAAATCACAATTAGCTATGTTTCCTTTTCCAACTGCAAGTCCCTGAGTATAAAGCCAGAGTTGCTGAGTAATAGGAGCTGGCCTAGAAATCTCTAGTTTTAACAGTAGCCCAGGAAATTCCATTATCTGATATCCATTAAATTTAAGAACCAGTGCTTTGGATTTTAATTTTAATATCTGTTATATAATTAACTTTGTTTTATCAAATGGAAGATGATTGAATTTACAGAAATGCAAATATTTATGACAAGTAAAATAATGTCTTTGGTTATTATAAGAAGGCAAGGAGAGGTGTCTATTAGGCTTTGTATCGTCATTAGCTTTTACTAGCCAAGGATAGATTTAATACATGTTTAATGTATTTATGCAAAACAATTCATTTCTTGAGCTTCTTTTTGAATCACTGAAATATGAATAGTAGACACTGTACCACCTCCAAATTGGAATAAATCTGAAATAATGATGTACAATTAGCCTGTCTAGAATTTGGGTGTTAACTCTTTTCTTGCTTTCTCTACATGTTTGCGTCTAGAGGACTCTGTCCCCAAATATAGTTTACATACCTTATATTAAAGCAAGATAAACATTTATACAATGTTCAGTAGGAAACAGAAAACTGTTTTAGAAGGCAGTCATGTTCACCTGATGTATAATGAGTATCTAACCTAGGTTTTAATCCATTCAGGATCTCAATTTTTTAAAAAGTGTTTCTGATACTGAACCAATTTATTTTTAATCAAGTATCCAATAAATGATCTATTACATCTTGCAGAAATGAATATATGTTAGATTTATTTCTTTTCTTCTTTCCCTGAAGTCTTGTCTCAGTTAAAAATGAATCCTATCACTATTTTATGGGTGAATGCTATGGACCATAATCACTACTAAGTAATTCATATAAAAATGAGCCTCTATGTGGAAAAGTCTCTACACTGAGTTATTTTTAAAGAAATGACATTACTATTGCAAAGAAGTAATGGAACATATACATATATGTACATATATACATAAACACATATACACATATAAAAAAATGACAGATGTCACAAAAATCTCCTTCAATTCTCAGTTTCTTAAAAAATCCTTCTCCAAACTAAAACAAACAAAAAAAAACTGCCTTACTTAGAATTCTTTATCTCTTTCTCCCTTGGTTATTTTTTACCTTTTTGCTTTTTATCTGACTCTTCCTTCAGAACTCCCACGACATATTTCCTCAGCTCATTCAAGTCCTAGCTCAAATTTCGCCTTCTAAATAAGGTCTCTTCTAATAACAATCCAACTTAATATTGCAGTACTCCCTCCCTGTACTCCTTATATGCCTCCCTTGCTTTATTTCTCTCCATAACACTTATCACATTTGATGCTATATATATACATATTTATTTTGTTATTGTTTATCACTCTACACTAGAATGCAAACTCCACAAGGCAAAGAATTTTTGTCTGTTTTGTTCACTCTTGTACTTCCAGTACCTAGAACAGCGATGACACATAGTAAATGTTTGATAATTACTTGTGAACCAGATAAAGAAATAAGTTATTAAAAAAACAAAGGAAGAAGCAAATAAATGGAGGAATTAATTATAAAATATTTAGAGCTCTTAGGTTCAGGAAATCATCACCTCTGCTAAATGGGTCAGGTGAGCATGCTGAAAACTGTACTATAAAATTGATGATGAACTATTTTATCAACTAAACTCTTGCATTATACAAAGAATAGAAATACCAACCCATACAGGTAGAAGTCAGGGAAGGTTACTTCACAAGTTTACTTTGTAAGAATATTTTAAGGTACATCTGAAGGTGGTGAACAGATCACCAAATGAGAAGGGCATAACAAGCTGAGAGAACAAATTGTGCACAGCAAAGAAACTTGAGATAGCAGAGCATGATTGGTAATGGAGAACTACAATTATTCAAGGAAAGCTGTAGCATAAATATTGAGAGAGGAAATACCAGGGAAATAAAATCAAAGGGGCACGACAGTACCAATGATGAAGGCTGCATGTGTCATGCTGAAGAACTAGAACTCATTTTTCCAAGAACTGAGGAACCGCCAAACAGCTTTAAGCCTGGGCATGACATCAGCACATTGTCATTTCTAAAAACACCATTTTGTCTGCATCAGAGACATGAACCTAAATAGGGTAGAGGGCAGAACATGGTCTAGGTGGTTTACGATAAAGATGTGAACTAAAACAGATGGTAGGGATGGAGGACAGAAGTAAATTTGAGAAATGTGAGTTAAAAATGAGAAGTATTAAGCGATCTGTTGGAAATGAGGGAGAGAGAAAGACAAGAATCTAGCATGACCACTAGGAATCTGGCTGGGCAACTGGATAAAGAGGGAAAGCTAGGAGAAAAAGCAAGTTTTGGAATAAAGGTGATGAGTCTGGCTTTTGTTATGCTGGGTGAGATGTGCCTGTGGGACATCCAAATAAAGATGACCAATGGGTGGCTGAATCTCTGAGTCTGTCACTTGCTAGAAGCAACTGAAGGTGTCCAGCAGCAAGTCTACAACATACAGGCAGTGAAAAGGCATGAGTCAGATGGAAGGCTTTAGGGAGAGTGAGGTAAACAAGTAGAAAACAAGAAACCTGGGAATAAAACCTGAACAGCATCAGCTTTTAAGGAACAGAGAAAGAAAAAAGAGTTTAAGAATATGAGAAGGGGAATAAATGGCTGAAAAGAAGGACACGACAAGGAGAGAATGATGGCACAGAGGCCAAACAAGGAGAGTTTTAGTCTTTCACTGACGAAGGGAGTAGTCAAAATCGTCAAGAGCATCAGAGAGATAGTTTAAGTACTATCGTTCCCCTACACTGCATAGAGAAGGAGACAGACAAGACCAGGAAAAGGCTAAGGGAAAAGTAGTTACCAGAATGCTCACGCCAATATGTTCCAGATTTAAATATAGAAAACTGGCAGTGTTTGGTCATCACCAGGGAATTATTCTCGTTTTATGAGTTTTTTTCTTTCCAAATAAAGGCAAATACTACTGGTCATTGAAGTCTGGTACAAGTCCTGCTTCTTCTATTTCTTTAGACCTACATATGTATTTATTTCACTATCTGCAGAAATATGAATTGTATGATTATTGTGGATTAAAAATTTTATTTTTGTCTTTTAGGGTTGGCAATATTTTAAAGATTTTAAAACTTAGAGAAATAATTAGTTCTATGAATATGTTTAAAAATACTGTCGAGTAATCAAAATTTAAGTAATAATATTACAAATAATTTTGAGGCTTGCTTAAATGGAAATAAAGAACCTACGTTCATGCAAAACCAACATGGTGGAAACACTAATACACCAAGCTATGTAATCAGATATATCCTAATAATTAGGTTTAACTCATAATTGCTAATTGTATTTCCACTTGGAATTAGAGCACTTGAAGCTATTTCCACTTTGGATTAGAGAACTTGAAGCTTTGCACTTAGAACATATAACATATAATCATCTTAGATCCAAATTACCCCACTCCTTTAAATAAAATTAAAATTATTTGGTTATATGTTTTATAACACAAAAATTGTTGTATTATTCAAAAGTTAGTATCTTCTAGAAATATATTTTTTCACATCAACTTCTATTGAATTATTTTTTATCCTATTTAAATATAGGTGCAAAATAAAATAAAATAATTTTTTACTCTTACTAACTCCAAAAGCACACACAGATGTATCTAGAACATAGTCTATAAGTAGAATTCATTCAAGTTAATAAAGTTAGTAAAGAAATCATTTCTGCTTTTGCTTAGGATAAAGGCCCTGGCCTTTTTTTCTTTTTCATACCATGGAAATTAATCAAAGCTAAGTTTGTTAAATATTAATATCTAAAAGAAAATACTGATTTTCCTTCATTAATTTAAAAAAAAATTTACATTCTCTCCCCTAAATTCTTATCATGTCTATATTCATCTCCACGACTGCCTACTCACTAGCATAACTCTGAATTTTCTTGACCTACCATGACCTAGTTTTTTGTCAATTGTCTTCATTTCCTCATATCACAAAGGAGTCCAAATGGAGAGCAGAGAAAAATGCCACTGGGAGCATTATATGCCCATACTAAATTCCTACTTTTCAAGATGGATTTCCACCTCCAACACCACTGGATGATTCTGAGGTGCTTCAAGATTAATGTGTTAAGAACCAGATTTATTATACCCTTTCCCACATTTCTTTTT